CCGCTAGGGTTGGACCTCAGACCTCACTCGTGGAGGCCCCGGTGGAGTTTGCATCCTTTGTCCGAGGCACAAGGGCTGCTAAGAGCAGTTGCTCGGGACTTGGCCAAGCGGGCGCCTGTACTTGCGTCTGCGGCCTTCAGACTTCTCCTGGACGTACCTTTCGGGTTTAGTTGCAGGGGAACGCAGCCGGCGCTGGCTGATCTTAGGTTTAGGGTTTAGGGATAGCCATTGCTCCGGCCTGACTTTGCGCTGCACGCCGTCTCGGGACAGCTGTATTAGGAGGTGTGGTACTGACGCTTCGGCTGCTTGCCTACACCGACAAGACACGAACGAATGGAGCGCGATGCTCGCCCCAAGGCCAAGCCGCGCGGGAGGAAAACCCAAAAGGGTGACAATTCGAATGATGTCGCGTCTGTCGTGAACAGCTCGGGTGCGGATTTCCCGGAAACGCAGTTAGGCGGTCGTGGAGCGGAGCTCGCGGCGCGCGACCAGGCTGACCTCACTTGTGCGTTGAAATCGCCAGCCCGGCTTCTTGCCGTGGCAGCGACAAGGTGGAGTAACCGCTTTACAGGCTGCCGATGTTTGTGGAGCTGGGGAGGCACGGTTGTGCTCCCGAAGCGCGAGGAGTTACGCGGTGCTTCGGCCTTTTTGTTTCACATGGTCCGTGACTTTGGGAGGTACGGCCTTCGGCCTTCGGCCTTTTTGTTTCGCACGGTCCGTGACCTTTGGGAAGTACGGTCATTGTACAATCTTTTAGGATGAGCCTCGTGCCACTGAGTGCGCACAAAAAGAGAAAGGCGCGAATGTGTTAGGTTCATAGGGAGGGGCGAATTGTGACTGTACACAATTAGGCTGTGGGGCCGCGTGCTGTGCGTTTCACGCAGGCTCAAGTGAGCACGGCAGAAACGTCGTAGGTCGCCGTAGCGCAGCCCGCAGCCTGCAGCCTGTGGTGCGCAGCACTGCCCGTGGGGACTGTTTGGCCTGTCACGGCCGAGGATCGTTCTGCGAGGCACGCAAAAAGGAGTGCTTACGATTGCCCTAAGCAACTCTGGGCACTTTGTGCCTTCACACTACCTGTTTACTTACCTACCCACTTGCCTAAATGTCCACTCTGCTACTTACCTACTTGCCCGCTTACCCGTGTATCTTCTTACCTGACCACCAGGCAACTTGCCTTCCTGCCTACTTACCTACTCATTTACCTAGCTACCTACTACCTATCCACTTTCTTACTTACCTGCTTGCTTACCTGCCTACCTACCTAGCTGCCCAGTGCCTACCTACCCATCTACTGAGTTGTCTCCCCGCTAACCTGCTTACTTGCCTGTGCACCCACTACGTATAGCCACATACCTACCTGCTGCTTACTTGCCTACCTGCCGCCTCTACCTACTCCGCTAGCTATCCACCTGCTGTTTTCCTGCTGATCAAGCAGCCTATCTTCCTCTGCCTTCCTACTTAATTACGTACTTCGCTACCCGCCTGCTACCTATCCGGCTGCCTATCCATACCTACTTACTCGCCCGCCTACCAAGCAATGACGTTCTTGTCAGCCTAGCTTCCCATGTCTAGCTACCTACCTACGTATTTCTCTCCCTACCCATACCGCCCCGCACCCCGTACCGCACCGCACCCCGTACCGTACCGCCTCGTACCCGCCCGGCCGCCCCCTACCGCCCCGAACTGTTCCATGCCGCCTTTACCGTCTCCCTGAAGTTTTGCATTGTGAGGTGTGCTAGGGCGCATAAAGCGGCGAGGCACAGAAAGCTGGCGATCGTGTTGCTGTCCCTGCGAGCTCCCGCCTCGGAAACCGCTTTTAAAGGCTTTGCCGTTTTTGGCTATCCAGGCAGTGCTGGCTGCGCCGTCGGAGCTCGATACAGACTTGACCTCGGACATTGCGTTGCTTTGAGTAAAGATGCGTGCACAGTGCACAGCTTGCTTTCTGGAGCCGGATGTTGCGGCCACGTGGCTGTGGTGGCGATTGCTGACGTCTGCAGCACCAAAGCATTCGGCAATTACGTTTTCGATAGTTTCCCGGGGACTGTGACGGAAGGCAAGATGACATCAGTTCTGAACCTGCTTGGCACCAACGGTGCCATACACCGGGTCTGTCGTGAGAACATGTGGCTGAGTGGGGTTGGTTAGGAACAGGTGAGGCAAGAAAGGGTGAGGCAGACGATCAGTCTCCTCAATTTCTGAGTGAAGTGCTTCTGCTTGTAGCCTTCCGAGCCTTTGATGTGGGCGCGGACGTGCCCAAGAGGGCCGTGCTGTAGCAAGTGACCTACCTCGAAAGCACGGAAAGATGCAAAGCAGCACAACAAATCGGCCTTCGTGCCTTTAAGATCCTTGAAGTATCCGCGAAAACTTGAATGTCAAGGGCATGGTGACACCGCCCGAACCAAAGAATGGAGTCATGCTTTCCGAGAATTTGGCGAGAATCTGAATCTGGACCTATCGCTGTCCTTCCTATTATTCGTCGAGGCTGTCGAGGTAGTGTCGCCTCGACTGTTGCGAACACAGCTTGAAGCCCGGGGCTCTGAGGCAGTGCAGTGGAATCGCTTTGTAAGGACCTCGAGTTCGCTTGGACCTTACAAAGACAGAGAGCGATCAAAGATACATAGAGGATTTGTACACTGTGACGGAGGTCACTGGTGAGTCTGGGGACGTCCAGCTTGATCCCACTCTCGCCTACGGAGCCGCCCGCAGCTGAGCGAGTCGAAATCTACAACCATCTTCAATTCAAGTGATGCTGCTTCGAAAATTGCTTTCCCGACTTGAGGCAGCACTGACATTCAAGGACTGTTGGGAAGCCGTTCAGGCGGTGAAGCGCTATCCCCGCCACTTTGCAGGACGTGAGCTTCGAGCTGCTGCCAGGCTCTGTTTTCAGACACTGAGGGCGCGGGCTCCACGAGATGCCGCCGCGTGCGCCGCTTCGCTGCGCTAGGACGGGACCGGATTCTGGCCCCGTGCTCCGGACACTTCGAGCCTGGCACGTGGCCTGGCTGAGAGCCGCCAACCGGGCCTTTTGTGGCAGCAAGAGGAATCGGCGGGGAATCTCGATCCAAGGTTGGTCGCACTCATGGGCTCGACCCCAAGATTTCAAGAGCTTCCGCAAGGCTGTGTGGCATGTTGCTCAATGCCGAAGCGGAGGTCCTTCTGGGAGCGGCAAGACAACTCTGCTGGACATCCTTGCTGGGAAGAAGACCTCGCCCTACACGGGGCAAGCTCCGACACTCAGACAGACCATCACCATAACCTAGAAGCTTGGCACATGCGGAGCTGAATTTTAGCAGGTCCATCTCAATGGCCTTCCCCGCAACGAGCTCTTCCCTCGCCTGACGAGCTATGTCCCACAGGAGAGAGCAAATAGAGAATTGCCCCAACTTTGCATGACGGAAAGTTTCGGGCGAGGGCAGTTTAGTTCCGGTCCGAACTTCGGGACCAAGTTTCATGCCCGAGCGTGCGCAGTTTCCGGCAGTCATTTCGGGTCCCCAGCAGCCAACAGTCTCCTCTCAGGAGGGTCTCGGTTCATGGTGTTGGGTTTCTCGAATCAAAATCTCCTTTTGGTTGAGAGTTTTGGGTTTCGCAACCAGCATCTGATTTTGTAGGGTACTGGGTTTCTCAACCAGCAAACTGCAATACTTGGAGAAATGGTTCGAAGCAGATTCAACCAACATCTCCTTTTGGGGTTTGGGGTTTGCGACGTTTCATACCCTTTTATCGTATTGGGCTTCTCATTTACTTCTAGGGTTCTGGGTCTTGCAGCCAAAACCTCTTGTTGAGGAGTTCCGTGCATGTTGGAAAGCGAGGCGTCACGTATTTGGAGCTCAAGAGGTCGCGGGTAAACTGCCAATCATCATTGCAACGCACCATGTGGTCCCCTATAGAATATAGGGCAGAGCGAACAGCACTGCTTGTGCTTGCAGCATCTTGCAGCGGACATAAGACCTGTTGCAACCAGGCCGTGTGCACTGTCGCGCGCACGATGACGCCGGCGCGTGGCTCCCTTTGGCACCGCATTCGGCACAGAAGTGTCCTCCGTGCTTTCCATCGTCGCTACGCTTCGTCGACGACCCAACATGACCTGGACAAGGAAGCAGTGTAAGTGTAAGGAGCCCATGGAGCCCATGGTACCTGCAGATTTTGGCAGATCGACAGATTTCGCAGTCAGGCCTCACCTCACACCATCTGCAGCATTCTGCCAGCTCAGCTCAGACGACTTCCGCTCACTTGTGAAGCAGAGTGGGCTAGTCAACCACTGCTGCTTGCAGTGTGGTCAGGCACGCGGGTCAATTCGGGCCTAAACCACAAAACAGCACAACCTGCAGCCGCAGGAGGGGTCCCACGACACAAGGCCTCCAAGAACCCTCAGGTGAGCGTCTCCCTTCAACGCTCTCTTGAAGAAAAGACGCTGCTGCATGGTCCTTGGGGACCTCAGGTTCGCATCCCCCCTCAGTCTGACCAATCTCAGACGTGAAAAACGGCGGCACCAAGCCAGCATCCTTCAGATACTTTTGGTAATTAGTCTTTTGGTGCTCCGATGTCATGGTGCGATACACGGCGATCGTGTATGCCGTGATAGCGCAGCGACCCTCGCTCCACGGGAGATGGCCATGCAAGCAATCTCGTCCATCAAAGAGCACTGCTGCCGCTTGCGTGTTGTAGATGCTACCCCGACACAGCACACCATCTACCTCAACAGATCTCAACAGCATGCTGGCCCACGCCATCACATACCCAAAGACCGCCTCCACTATGGTGCGTAACGCCTATCAGAACAACCTCACGGCCCAGGCTCTGTACAGTTACAGTATTAGCCGTAGTATCGGTGGTATTACGACCTGAAATGGTACACGGCGTGCCCTTCTCCGCCTGAAACGGCCCATGGCCCATGTGCGACCGGAACCGGCAGAACCGAAATGGATACCCTCGATCCGAAATGATGCGCCTGCAACGTGTTTTGCCCAACCTCGCACATCGCCAGTTGGCAGGACGATGTGATGTTCCCCACGGTCACGGTCGCCGCCTCGTCCTTTCTGTGTTTACAGATAGCTCAGATGGCGATGGGAGCTGTGAGGTGAAGGAGCAGGTCATGTTCCACAGCGCCTTAAAGACGGAGGCCAGACCTGTAAGTCTTTGCAGTGCCAGTCTGCACCTGCTTTTCAATGGTTGTGCATGGTTGTGCCGGGTTGTGGAGGTGCCCTCCACCGTCCACCGTGAAGATTGGGCAAAGACCATCGAGCTCCCCAGCTAAAAGTTTCTCTCTTCTGCCTTGTTCCATATGGCACCAAGGCTTCAACTCCGAGCTGTGGGTCTGGAGGAGGCAAGTGCGGCAAGTCTGATTTCAGGGCTGGTTGGGGATGTCGAGTTTGGCGCTTCTCTTTCTTGGGCCCGGTCAAATTTCGGGCCCCCGAACTTTAGACGCGGTTGGGGACTCTGCGAACTCGCCTCGGAAATGGCTCCAGAAGTGCTCCAAGTCTGGCCGAATGGAGTGCCACCTCACAGCCGTCTGGATCGTGTCTCCATTTCAAGTCGCAAGCTTGCAAAGGCGGGCCAAGTTATATGTCTCAACCCAGCGATCCAATCAGCTTTCCTTCGTGTTCAACGAACCCCTGGTCGCGAAGGTACTTTTGTCTCTGTTGTTACAAGACCCTTTTAAAACAAAAGCGGTCGTTCCGCTGCGTGACAGATTCATGAGGAGCTGGGCGCAGCCCGGCAACGACCCGATCGCCAGGGAATTAGCGTTCGACACAAAGACATTTGCGTTATCCTGCCTCTGCCTGTGTGCACACTCCCTTTTTCATCTGCGCCAAGCGTCAAGCCCGTGATCATCTTCAAACAGGTAACAGGAAAGATAGCAGATAATAGCAGGGAGCACATCAGGAACAGGCAGGAAGCACAAGGAGCAGAACCCCTGTGAGGTGCAGAACTCCTTGATCGGGAGTGATGTCGTGCGGGGCATCTCTGGTGGGCAGAGGCCTGGTCACAGCTCTTTGCCCGTTTCAGTGCTGCCGGGCTTCAGGCGCCGTGTGTCTCTGGCTTGCGGCCTGGCGACCGGCGTCCAAGCGCTTAGCATTTCGCATCCTGTCCCTGCCATGCTCGGCTTCGCCATAGCCCTTGCGAGGCACAAATCTTCTTCTGTGATGAGCCGACGTCTGGCCCAACTCCCAGCCTGGGCTGGGGCATGAAGGGCATGAAGACTGTCCTGGACGTGTTACTGCGAGGCTTGAGTGCCACGGATGCCGAGCAGTGCGTGAGGCGGCATCATGCAGCAATGTGGCAGCACCACGAGTCAGACCGTGAATTCGGGGACAGGTACATGCGCCTCCTGTGCAAAAAGTACGGTGTCAGCATTGTAGTTGCAATCCACCAGCCGCGGCAAGAGGTGGGATTGGGAGATGAGAAGAGGAACACTGGAAGTTCTTGCATCGTAAGGTTGCTGTCCTCTTCGATCATCTTCTGCTCCTGACAAGTGGGGATGTCGTCTACAATGGCAAGATGACCGAGGCTCCAACCGACACAGAGAGACGGATTGGGAGAGTGGGGAGTGGGCACAGGCCCGACGCTATTGGAGCGACGCGGGCTTTCCTGCAACTCGGCCTCACGGACACCTAAGCAGCAGAAAAGGGCGGGCGAAACATGTAGCGCAGCACTTTGTAGGTCCCGGACCTGGTTTCTCCGACGGAGCGCGTTAGCCGCCTTTCCTTCTGCGTCCATCTCATCCTTTGTGGTGTGGAGGACTATTTCCTGGACTTGGTGACGCCCGGGACGCTGGACTCACAGGCGCAATCAGCCAGAAGGCTTTCAATGTCAAGAGTCAAGAGGGGATCGAAGCACGAGGTGGACCACTTCCGGGAGTTCTATCAGAACAGTCGCAATGGCAAGGCATCCGTCGATGAATTAGTGGAAGCCCCAACGGAAGGCGAAAACGAGCAGAGCGATAGTCGCTTTTTGCTCTGAGGTGTACCGGGAGCTCTGTAAGGCCGCGTTGACGGCGGAAGAGCTCTTGGAGGCTCCGAGCAACGGCACGCAGCGACAGCTGCGACCGCTGGGCCATCGCCAGGCCAGACACCGGCGATTGCCGCACCGGCTTCGACTTTCTGGGATGCTTGCACCAGTTGCAGGGTTCTGTTCTGCTCGCCAGGTCGCTGTTTGGAGACATGCCACCATTGAGGTCTCACAGCATCTACGGGGTCAGGCCCTGCAGAAAGAGACCTGTGGAGATGACGGGTGTAAGCAGACCGAGTGAGACCGAAAGGGATGCATGTCTCATAGTGGTAATAGAGGATTACTCGATCGCTGTATGTCCTTGTTTTTGCCTTTCCGGTTGCTTGCGAGGTTCCGGAAGCAACTGCAGAAGGTCTTTTGTAGGCAAGTACGCCTTCTCCTTCGGGATCAGCCCGCTCCTCGCCGGGACTGATTCAACGCGGACTCACGGAATGTCTCCGAGCTTCTAAGGCAGGGAGTTCTTACCGAGTTTTTGGTGGCCATAGCGCAGGCTTTGGTTGTAGGTGCGGAGCTCGGTTTGAGGACCACGGTCGATTCAGATCCGAGCCGAAGCAAGGTGCAGCGTACATTGGCATTGGAAAGGGAGAAGACGCTGGATATCACCAGGCATCGCAAAGCAGGCGGTGTTAAGCCTGGGACACTTAGCGCTTCAGGTCGGATTCTACTTCATGCTGGTGATGACATGCGCCATCTCCGGCATCAAGGACCACCCTGGCATCATTTTGATCTGACGACCTCATTTGTTTCGATTTCCGGTTGATTCTCGCAGCTAGCTGCCTTGAGATATGAGGCGTTGAGCGTTGGTTAAGTTGCTGCATCGGTGAACGCAATCCTCGCAACCTTATGAGATCGGACGGAGTGGCCGTAGCAGCTATGGAAGACGCCTCCGAGGCCAGAGGCTCTGAACAGATGAAAAGGAGAAGGACAAAACTGGTCCTTGAGGGGCCAGCACCGAACGGTGCCGGCGTGAGGCGCCGGCGTCTCGAAACTCGAGAGCTCAAGCGAGGCTTTGAGACGTACAAATGCTTTCGGACTTCGCCATGGTCTCTCTCGAAGAGTCGGCCAGCGAGAGGTCCGCCGGCATGTCATGGCGCAGGATCCCTCTCTAGCATTTCAGATCTTTCTCTTCTTGAGAAGGTGAGACTTGCACCAATTCCTCTCCTAGCAGTGTTCCGCGCCATAGTGTAGGAGCGTGCCGTGGAGGATGTGGTAGCGGCGAGAGTGAGAGAGAGCGAGAGGGAGCACAAGACCTTCCAACCGAAGAGAGCCGCAGAGGGGGACCTGTATTCGCGCCAAAGCCACGCAAAAGCACAACGGTGGTGGCGAAGCTCGCGCACATAGCAAAGCACAGAAGTATCCCGTCAAGCAGTGGCCACTCGGCCACGGCTTCTTCAGACCCAGAAGCTCCGCACCCACAGTTTCAGCAGAAGGGCAAAAGCCGTGGCGAGACACGCAGCATACCGCAGCACCCAACGGCGGACCCACCCAAGGCCACAACCTAGTACCCACCGACGACCGAGCACCAGCCACGCATCCAGCAGAGGTGAGCGGACACAACCAGAGCAAGACGTCGACTCAGAACCACAACCTCGTGCCCCGACACTGGTACTGTCGTAAAGGCTCTTTCTGTGCTCCGGGTAGCCTTTGCGGTCCGCAACGGCTTGAGCATGCGTGGACTGACAAAGCCTTCTGCTCTGTCCAGGGTTTTTCTGCTCCTCCACCAATGTGGACAGGGTCCAATAAAGCCTTCTCTCCTGCTCCTAAGCTTCTTCTCCTTCTCCTCAATGGACAGGGCTTTAAGTGGCCCTGTTGCAGCCCGGATAAAGATTCCTCGGGCCCGAGATGTTCAGAAAACAGCGCTCCTAACCCAACGGCGGGCTTCAAAAGGAAGAATCTTTAAGGCGGGCAAAAAACAACTTGAGAGGCCACAAAGGGAAGGCTTCATCTGGACGTGCCGAGCCTCGCCCGAGGTTTAAGGCGCACGCGCGATTTCCGTCTGAAGGCATACGTGTCCCCTGTTGTCACGCGTGGTGTCGGAAGCGATCGCCTCATGCGGCGGCGAGCTGAAGATATGTGATGAACCGGGATCGGCAAGTGAGGGAGATGTGACCGACCGGGACGGCCAAAAGTCAGGGCATGCTTAAGATATGTGTGACGAATCAGGAGCGCCAAAAGAGGGGGCGGGTCTAAGAAACTCGCTCAACCGGGATCGCCTCAAAAGGGGGAGTGTTTAAGATATGTTGAACGCCTAATGACGGGGTGTGTTGAAGATATGTGATCAAACTGGATTTTCAAATGAGGGTGCATGTTTAAGATATGTGACGAACTGGCATCGCCAAAGGAGACGGAGTGGGCGTGCTTAAGATATGTGATCAACCTGGAGCGCCTAATGAGGGGGCGGCGTTCACGATATGTGATAGCCAATAGCGCCTCACTCATCGTTCTTTGCGTGTCGCCGAGCTTCATCCTCACCTCCACCCTCACCTTCATGTTCTCTTTCCCTCTCACATTCACCTCGTCATTTGACCCTCACTGTTGTCTCTGAGGTTAGCTGCTACAGTCTTCCCACGACCTGCCACCGATGCGTGGTAAACCTGTACAGACAGCATTTGTGCTAGTGCTTACCGTAGGCTGAGAGCGCACTGTCTTCCCGGAAGTGGGCCACGGGCCTTTGTTTCCTGTCTCGTGCATCACACAGGTCTTGCTTCGCCGTTTTGGTGCCACGCCATGCCATCATGTAGCGACAGCTCTGCTGCCTGCTGCTGGCCAGGTCATGCCGAAGGCGATCGCAGAGCGGACGGTCATGAAGCTGGAGGTTTCCGAGGTGCTGTACAGTGTTCTGGGCTCAGGATCTGTTGGAAGCGCTGCTTTCCCATCTGTTGCAAAGCGCCAGTAAGTGCTCAGGACTGGGCATACATTATTGCCTTTACCAGCCTCAACCTTCTCTTATCGCTCGTTTGCAATGCGCTTTTTGTGACACTGGTCTTCGCCTTGTACGGAGCTCAGAGCTCACAAACCGAAAAGACAGGCTGTTCCGAGACATAGTCTCAGGAGCAAGCTCGAATGGACCGTGTTCCCAATTGCCACTTTGCCGCAGAAAAGAAAACTTTTGCAACTGTGGGTTATATCTCAAGCCCAGGTTCTTTTGTGGAATAGCATCATCTTCGTGAGTATGGACACTGTGATGCGGTCAGACAATTCTTCTATACTGTTTCATGCAGCCACCTGACGACTGCGCGGGCTTCCATACAGGACAGCCTGTACCTCATGGTGGCTGCAGCGGCCAAAGACTCCAGCTCTGCACAGATTCTGCTAGCACCGTTCCTGACGCCGGGGCCCAAGCAGGTTCAGTTTATTCTCGACTGGCGAACTCGAGGACGTAGAAAAAATGTGGAATCAAGAGGTTCCAGGGCTGTGTTCAGCATGAGAGGTTGAAACACGAGACACAAAAACGATCGAGTGAACACCACCATGTGCGAAGCATGAACAGGGGATGACAGGCCGACAGGCCGACAGGCCCGGGTTCTTGGAATCTGTGCACTGGCTGCACTGCGGCACCGTGCTCGGCAGATTTTCACCGTCCACCGCGCACACAAGCCTTCGGCGCTGCATGAACTGTGGCATTCTGCCCCACCGACGGCCAAAATTCCTGTAATTCACCGTGAAGCCGCGTGGTGTGGCGATATGTGTGGGCTGCTGCTCGTCTCTTGTTCGTTGCGTTTTCGGTCTCACTTGTGAGTCACTTGTGTGCGCTTAAGGATGGCCATGCTCTTCAACGGCTTCACGGTCTCGCGCAAGTCCGTGCCGACTTTCATGGTCTGGGCCTCGTCTCGCTGCGGCATGTTCTCGCCGTTCGACCAGTTCTTGAAGATACTTGTGGCCAGTTTGCATGCGCGTTGTTGTTTCCATGAGCGTTCAGATCGTTCAGATCAACAAAGGAATGGATGCGTTTTGCCGTTTTGCCGTTGCCGCCTTTCTGTAGTACTGTAGTTGTGCTCCACAAATGAGAGTGAGCGACAGCTTCTGCGAAGCTGCAGCAAAAAGCACACCCCTTAGGATCATCAAACAGTATTCACACCACGCCCGCAAGAACAGCAAACAAAACAGAACCCCCTTCCCGCCTCCCCCCAACAAACCGCAGCAGCAGCAGCAACAACAACAGCACACCTCCCCGCAGCAACAGCAGCAACCAAGCTTGCACGCACACGCGCACGCGCACGCACACACACACACACACACACACACACACCGGCATCAAGAGCAACAGGAACAAACACCGCCTCCCACAGCAACAGAGAATGCATCCCCCGCCGCAGCAACAACACAAAACACGCAGGAGCAACGTAAGAACGGCAAATCCTTGTGAACTGAGGGGTCCTGGACTGGATTGAAGCGAAATTCATACATGTGCTCTGAGCACTTGGGGCAATTGTGCACCGTCCACTTCACCTGACTCGCCAAGTATGGCTGTTCTGGACCTGGAACAAGTCTATAGTCTAGAGCCCGTTGCTTGAGCAGAGTTTCGGCGGTGATTGTCCGGGGTTGCTGCGTCCACGTGTTCATGGAGGTCTATGCCCCCCGTTCCCCCGTGGCCGGCTTCAACTGGATACAATTGCCGGCTGGAGCTGTGTGTTGTGTAGCCATGTATATATAGTGCTAAGCATACACATGTATTCCTACCGGACTCCCAAAGGGTTCACACCTGCAGAGATGGCGTACATCAAGAAAGGGGTGAGAATAGGCACGGCACAGGAGAGTTATGGCACAATCACATGGTCAAACAGGTCCGTCAAATGACTTCAACCTAGCAGAGAGTGCCAGACAACAGTAGAATCAGACATGTCGACCTATAACTATAACCACAGTCAGGTCTAATGACATAGTCGCATATTACCATCGACCATGCAGACTGCAAATACGACTGGGGACGGAAGCGGCATGATACTCTTTGTTGACTTGAAGCTATACTAGATACTGATTCGGACGCAGCCGGATGTGACTGACTTCAGAAGGAAGGACTAGTGGCGAATAGCGTAGAGGTAAAAAATCATATGGGTCCAATGACATCATCGTACATGACATCGACTGTGTTCCCATCACGGCGTAAGAGACTGATCGTCTGCGTGATCGTCTGCTTGAAACTGTACGAGAAGGTGAATTCGACTAAGCTGGATGGCAGCAATGTAAGACATGCACAGGTGCGACCCAAGTGCGTCACCCTCGAGAGGATAAGGGACGAGTCAAGAAGAATGAGTTGTCAGCCCTATCTGTAGATTGTAGGCTAGAGGAACATGATCAGAGAAGAAATAAAGGAGACAGCCCTTACGACTGAGTGTGTTCTAAGTCTAAAGGGCCAAGAGAATCATCACCAGAAAAGGTGATTGGGAACAATGTTTGCTTTTTCAGGTATGAACAGGAACATCACAAGAAGAGATGTGGGGAGCATTCGTTGCGATCAGGGGTTTCAACCGTATTTGGCAGAAGAGGCGAGGGGGACGCTGCTTACGATTGACGATTTCAAGAGGATCAACGCTTGAAGAGATGAGGGGAACACTGCGTGCCAACGCCACAAAGATTGAGGATTCAACAGCACCAACATCCGAAAACATGAGCGGCCGCTCCTGGCGATTAGGGGTTTCAAAAGGGCCGAGGTGAGGGGAACACTGCTTGCGAGTGAGGATTTGAAGAGGATAAGCACCAAAAAAACAAAGGGAACAATCTTTGCGATTACAACACGAGGAGAGATTGAGGACTCCAATTGGACCAACACCAGAAAAGACTAGGGGGCCGCTCCTGATGATTAAGGGTTTCCAGAGGACCATCAATTGCAGAGGTGAGGGGAACATTGCTTGCGTCTTATCAGCAGTCATGAAGAGGACACCCCTTGCGAAAAAGAGTGTTCTAGAACATCATCAGCAGAATGCATAAGGAGGACACTCCCTGGGTTTGCGGTTTTTGAAGAGCATCATCACCAGAGCAGATGAGGGAGGCATTGTTTGAGGGATGTCAAGAGCATCATCACCAGAACGGATGAGGGGAGACACTGCTTGCGATTGGGGTTCGAAGAGGGTCATCACCAGAAACGTGCGGGGAACATTGCTTGCGACTGATGATTTGAAGAGCAACATCACCACAAGAGNNTGCGATTGGGGTTCGAAGAGGGTCGTCACCTGCTTGCAACTGATGGTTTGTAGAGCAGCATCACCATAAGAGATGCGGGAACACTGCTTGCGATTGGGGTTCGAAGAGGGTCATCACCACAAAAGGTGCGGGGAGCATTGCTTGCGACTGATGGCTTGCAGAGCAACATCACGAAGAGGGCCATCACCAGAAAAGGTGCGGGGAACATTGCTGGCGACTGATGGTTTGAAGAGCAACATCACCATAAGAGATGGGGGAGCAAGCAGGGTCATCACCAGAAAAGGTGACTGATGGTTTGAAGAGGATCATCACCACAAGAGCTGGGGGAGCACTGCTTGCGATTGGGGTTCGAAGAGGGTCATCACCAGAAAAGGCGCGGGGAACATTGCTTGCGACTGATG